TTTTCTGCGACTCTTACTGCAAAACCACAAATAAGTTTATTCCTAAATAAGAATAAATACAGTGACAGGCGTCCTTATGGAGTTTACCAGAGAGAATAATATACCAATTATAATTAAAAATGTCTAACCTAACTTATAATTCTAACACCAATAATTCCGAAAACACAGAAAAATATGAAAATTTAGTTAAACCTAACTTAAACATAGAGGAAGTACCAATATCCTTGTTCAAAGACCACCCAAATATCGAATCCACAGGTAGTGAATTTCAGTTACTAGACTTATTACATACAGTTATTTTAATAATGACTATAATAATATTGATAATGGTACTTAATATCCATGCAGCTGCATCTTGGAAAATTAATCAGTATGTATAACATGCGGGTCTTCAATTCAAGCTTGGTTGTCCAATTGACTAACTATAGTAGTGAGGATTCGGTTAATTTCATGATTGAATATTTTCACTCGTTGTCACCATCTCAGAGGCTAGCTGTAATTAGCTATTTGTCAGCTAAGGTATAATATTGTCTACGTATAAGGCTATAGTTTTTTTTTAATAGTATTGCTATTAACATATTGCAAATGAATTCCCGTAACCTACCAATTTAGCACTGCAGCTGGATATGCTGACTCATTATACCTTATTTCATAAAAATATACTTCAAGATACGATAGCAGTTAATTGTTCATATGCAGTATATTTACAAAACTATTGTTAGCTAATGCAGGCCAGCCACACCAAACACAATTCTTCACTCTCACTATGCATACTACTTCCTTAGTGAGTTCACAAAGCATTTATAATCATAGTTAAAGCTTCGATAGTTTATTAGTCAGACTTAAGCGCTAATATATAAGTATCAAAATCCTGATTATGAATAATTGATTTGACTATGCTATACAATTTCAACCATTATGTCAATTATAGGATATAAAAAGAAATCACTTGATTCTTCAAACACGTCAACTTACTCGGTGGGTAGTTCATTAAGTTCAATTAAATCTAAAACCTCAAAAATGTTCAAAAGAACAACTTATCATGATAAAGAAAAACGCCCAAAGCTGCCTAGAATAAACATGTTTGTGGTAACTGAGTATTTGGCTCTTCGCTGATTGCTTTTCGAGCCTTATTCAATACTTTCCTCCTTAGTAAGCTACTATATTTGATCCGAATTACTTTTATAGTGACAATGTACAAATAAATGAAATACCTTTCTGTAGAATTTTGACTTAAATTGGATAGCCTTTTTTTTTAGTAAATAACAACGCAAAAATGTTTGAAAAGTACGGTTTGGAGGATATTATTGCAACAATTAACAATGTCTCATTAACACAAAGTAGGCTAACTAAGTTGTAATTACATCTCAACAAGAATTCATTTACTGAAAACAAGCTGCAAATTTTATGGCCCTTTTGAATCGAGCAATATTTACTAACATTTTGTATTAAAAACTTTGCAAGTAATTTTGTAATCGCAATAAACGGTTAAACCAGAAGTAAGTATTGTATGTATATTTACTCATAAGACTCCGAAAATATGCTAAATGTTTCGTAATACTTCCTACGTACGGCTATAGATCTGATTTTCTAATGCTAACAAATTAAATAAAAACTTACCCGGACAAGTAGATCTGATATTTTTATCCAGAAAAGATTTGATTTACGTGTACGCTATTCTAACCACATCACCTACTTAATCAGTCAAATAAAATGATTGGAAATATCATATATATCTTATTCACTTTAACAGTAGTATCAGCAAATTTATTTGACTTTATACATAATCAGTTTCAAGGGAACCATCAACAAGCTCAGAAACAAACTCCTGGTGAATACGAAAATGCTAATCTAAATTCGGGATGTTCGAAATATTTATGTCCTGATACATCAATCTGTGTGGATGCACCTAAATTTTGTCCTTGTCCTTACCCATCATCTCAATTGAGATGCTTTTTGCCTGATGGCAGATACGTCTGTATTTCAAAACCCGCCGGCGAAGTGTCCTTGAAATACGCAGATCCAAAGACAAATTGGAAGATTGATGCCAGAGATGATAATATAAGAGATTGTGGCTGGGTAGGAAGAGCTTGGAAAGGCTTGGTATGATAAAATTTCTGTAAATATTCTTCGACTTTCTTCCCTCCATCACCTTAACCAGCTGCTTCGTATACATTGCTGCCCCAATAAGTAGCGTCTGCAGTGAAGAAGTTTCCAACAACCTCCTATTTCTTGTATAGTATGATAGTTTTGATAGTATTTCATTCAATAGATTATATTGACCACTTTTTTGCATCTATTGCTGCACCATTATTGTATATCTCGCATATATTACAGTAGATCTTTACCCCAAATAAAAATACAGGGGTCCTCTGCATCCTTGATGCACATACACAAAATAGATCTACATACCCACAAAACACATAATTTCAACTCTTTGCTCAGGCTCATGTTTCAATCAAGCCTTCTGTCGTACGATCATACGACCGATTGCAGCAATTTACCATTACCGAGGTATATAAGCCGATAGTCAATGCGTCTATCTTTAATCAGTAAAAAACACATAAAATTTTTCACCTTTCACTTATACACAATTCAGAATGTAAGGTCGAATCTGTTGAACCATCTATAGCTCGTTTTCTGCCTATAAGACCAAGCAACATCTCTGGTGTGAAGTGTATAGTAGTCATGTATTTCTTTTTATTTCGCAACATCGAGCCATCGGTTCATAACCAGAAATGACTCCACCTTTTTGTGATTTTTATCTACTAGAATAATAAGATCTAGATGAATAGTGGTTAGATTGAAAAGTTTTTTGTAAGACATAGCAGAAAGATATCAAATATACCGAAAATGACTATCGATATAGCAGATGATACATCTAATAACTTTAAGCGAAAAACTGGTGGAAATGGGTCGCATGGATATAATAATAGTAACTACTACAAGTGCTTTCAGAATTACTATCATGGACATAATTATTTAAATCCAAATCCACAGTATATTACGAATATTAAAGCTAGTGTAAACCACTGGCAACTCCGGGACTTGATACAAGTTGACCAAGAAAACGGGAAACTTTATCACACCAAAGATGATAGCATAAGGGAGGTGAACTTGTTGAATAAGGATAAGATCGGATCCGATAAGCATATGGAATGGGACTATTTTCCCAAGTGTTTTAGCCATACACGAGGAGGAATAGTTGTTACAGGGGGTCTTTTATCGTCGTCTTCTAAGGCGTATTCGATGAATCTTCCCAGTTTGTCCTCTACAGATAAGACTACCAAGTCATTTCGTACACCGAAGGGGCTCTTTTCATTTTATAACCCAGAAACAGGAATAAGCAAAACTGTGAAATTGGGTGATGTGATTAACAATTCGGTTTCGATATATCCACATGCAAGCAGCCAGTATAAGTCGTACGTTTGTAATAACGATTCGAATTTGTATGTGGTTGACATTAGTGGAGACAGGTTATCGTTGGATAATAAAATCAACTGCGAGTTGAACACATCGTTAAATAACGTATGCAGATCGCCTACGAATGATAAATTAGTGACTGTTACTGGGGATTCGTCGTCTATTTTCTTGCTTGATCCTAGTTCAAACTCAAAGATTAAAACGATTAAAACAGATCATGATTCTGGGTTTGGAATATCTTACCACCCTAACGGACATCTTTTCGCAACTGCATTCCAAGACGGTACATGTAGCTTGTATGATATTCGAAATTTATCGAGTCCTTTAAGTGAAATTAAATCTACGAGGCCGGGCCATCAAGCAGGTGCTTTCAGATGTTGCAAATTTGCCAACTCCTCTGTTAATGACTTTTTGGTAATCCTGGAGCATGTTGGAAGAGTGCATCTTTTTGACTTAAGAAATTTAGGTAGTGATAATACTAACGACCACCAAGTCATAGTCTTTCCATTTGCGTTGGATCAATTTGCCGACTACAAGAAGCAACAGTTGAACAAGGAAGCGAAATTATCTGGTGAAAAGAAAGAAGATCAAGATAGCATGAATGACGGAGATCAAGTTTCTCATGAGAAGTTTGGTATTTACGGCGATTCGAGTAACTTGTTTAGATCTAATGAAATCGGGGAAATCAAGAGCAAATCCAAATCAGACTTACAATTCACAGCACCATTGGTTTACGATTACGATTATCTAACTAATGTTAATCCTAAGTTGTTTAAGAATTACACTTATCAAACCCCTCCTACGTTGAGTGGTCCTGAAAACCTGTATTTACCACCACCGGAATTCAATTACCCACAATGGAATTCCGCTTCTAGTGATAACAATGAAGGTATATCGCCTGAAAATACAAGAGCATCTATTTCCATCCCACCTCAGCAACCAGATCCAAACTTCCAATTTGGTCCTGGCCACAATACTACAATCGAGCATTTGGCTCATCCAGGTTCTGCACAATCAAGCTCTAATTCTGACACAAGTTCTAGGTCGAATTCTTCATATGATAGCTACTATCAAGAAGCCTACCAAAAATCAGTCAATCATATACATGGTGAAATGGAATTAGCCGGTATAGATTGGTTTGATAGACAATTATTGATAGGCTGCGAAGATGGTGGTATTTTAAATTGGGATATTAATGTACTAGGTAGAAGAAGTTTTGGGAGTTTCTCATACGTTTAAGTGTAACTAACTGTTATATGTATATCCCATTTTGTAACAATATGACTAATTCAAGTACGTTCTTTTGATAGGTTTTCTGTTTATATATAATTGACAATAGTAATTTATTATCATGTGATTAAATCGCGTATAGAATTGAACGCGTTAAGTTTATGTAGAGAGAGTAACATCAACATAAACTCATTTAGTGAAGTACTATAGGTGGGTAGTAAGAGTTGAAAGGTAATGTACATATCACCAACTCAGTACTCTAAAGCATTCCAAGAAATCAAGCGAACATCATTATCGCATTCCACCTGCAAGCTAATTATTTTTGTTTCTTGTCTAAATATTGATTCGTTATGTTCTGCCAAGATTTTAAGTATTATATTGAAGAAAGAGTTGATTCAGTATCAGTTGATACCGGTGGTAGGATATTCTGATTTGAAAAACCATTTTAGTAGCTTAGATTCTGATGTTACGAACGTTATTTTGATTGGATGTGGTGCCATGTTAGACTTGGAAAGTTTTTTTGAGATTAATGTTGATGATTATGATCTTGGAAATGGCAGCAACGTGGAAACTGATGATCTTCACGATGACCCATTGAAAAGCGGTGCTAACTTGCGAAGAAAGATTTATATTATAGATGGTCATAGGCCGTGGAATTTGGATAATATATTTGGGTCATCAATGCTCGTGTGCCTTGATGACGGGTTTATAGAAGGAAATCTAGAAAAAGAAAAAGCGGCATATAAGACATTAGTGGAGCAAGAGGATGATTCTGAAGAAGAATTACTGTCCAGTGAGGACGAAGAAGAAAAAAATGAACACGACGACGAAGAGGATGATACTGATAATGACGACGATGAAGACATAATAATAAGTTCTCAAGACGATCCAGAAACAACGTCACGTAAGCGAAGAAAGCAAGAAATCAAGATGAAAAAATTGAAGAAACAAAGGAAGCAACAAATATCGAGTTGTGAAGACATAGTAGAATCATATTATAACCAAGGTACAACAATAATTACTTCAACAACGGCTACAATATATGCGCTTTTATCATCAATTGGTGAAACTAATATTGAAAATTTATGGTTGGCTATCATTGGAACATCATCTTTAGATAATCATTACCCCGAGGTCTACGATAAAATTCAGCCTTTGTTTAAGGAAGAAGTATTCAGATTAAACCCTTCAAACAATAATAATGCTGATAAAACAGCTGATTCTACTTCGTTAAATATCGACAAGGACTATCATTTATTCTTGTTACGTCATTGGACCCTATATGATTCATTTTTCTATTCAAGTCATGTAAATTCAAAGTTGAACTTGTGGACTGAAAATGGGAAGAAGAAATTGCACAAGCTATTTGCCAAGATGGGAGTTTCGTTGGCTATAGCTCAACAGAACTGGCTTTATATGGATATTGGCATTAAGAGACAGCTACCAACGATTTTTAATAAGTATTTACCACTTTATGGATTAGAGGGAATAGTGCGGAATGGCTTTATAAGAACTTTTGGATATTCGGGGCAGTTATCGGCAATAGAGTGCGTTGAATCTCTCACGGCATTACTTGAATGTGATAGACGTATATTGGACGGTAACAATAACTTCAATGACGAAGAAGATGACGAGCTTGATGATGAAGATAAAATAAACTCAAGAATTGAAAGAAAGGAAAAAATATGGGTGAATAACTTTTGGTCATCTTGGGATGCATTAAACATGACTACCAATACTTCCAAGTCTGTTAGTTCCAAGATGGGCTCATCAAATTTCAAGAAAGCCAAAGGTTTTGATTTATTATTACAAGGATTGGAACATGCCAAACAAATTCAACAGATTATTTTCAGAACAGGGATGTCATTACTAGAAAGGAAATTGATTAAGAACTTACGGTTGTATAGGTTATGTGTCTTGAATGATGGTTCAATACCAGATCTAGAAATATTTAATAATCCACTAATTTTATCTAAATTGGGCTCATGGTTGCTAGAAAATATAACTGAATTAGAATTTTTAAATTCGGTATCAAACAAGTCGTTGAAGCCATTAGTTGTGGCAAGTCTTGATGTTGCAAGTGACACGTATTTAGTAATTGGATTAGCCCCAAAATACCCAAGAGGTATGGATAATTCAACAAAGGCAAAACTATTACAACTGAAAGACGACTCAACCATTACTACAAGGTTAAATACATTCAGCGTTGCATTCCAACAAGTGGCTAATACGTCCGGTGCAAAGGTAAGAATAGATAGTTTTGACAGTTCTGTCATCGAAATTAGGAAGGATGATTTATCCCCTTTCCTAGAAAAGTTAACTTTAAGTGGATTGATTTAGCATTTATAGATTAATATATTATTAATACGATTATTATTTTCACTGTAATTTTCAAGGACGAAGCCGTTCATAGTCAATATTTTAGTTGCG